TCAATAGCTGAAAGCCATAATTCAATTCAGCAAAATGCAGTAAGGATACTGACTATAAGTTCAAAAAATGTGTATTCCCGGTAATCTCCAAAAAACCAAAGCAGTTGGGTAATAAATAGAAACAAAATAGAACAGCGACTTATTTTTAAATAGTTGGGAAAGGTTTTCCATACTTAGGAATGCAGGTAGTCCTTGACCCATGACCACAATTGAACCCAAAATTTCTGTTGCTAAGCAAGACAGTTATTAAGTGAGTTATACCCCATTTTATTACCTTTCTTGCCACAGTTGTTAAGTGAATCACAACAGTTGTTCAGTTAGTAACACAGTTATTAAGTGACTATGACTTCCCTGTTGACTCTGCTTGTCAGAAGGTCAACAGATCAACAAAAGGTGATCACATGATCCTAGGACACTGCAACTGTCATACATATGAGCCAGTTTGCCAAGCTTTCAAATTTTGATCAAATGACCATGGATATTATTAGAGTATGCAAAAGTTTATATAGTATTTGTAGAAATGTAGTCGGAACAAACCAATAAACATCAGAACCCTTCCCAATAACATTTAGAATAAAAGAGGGATGTGTACTCTCACCTACATCAATTGCATAAGCAAAGAAGCCAAACCCAAGAATGGGAATAATATCAACGAACTACTCTTTGCAGATGATTAGGTATTAGATAGCAAGTACAGCTAAGGAACTACAACAACATCTGACGGCCATGAACCAAGAATGCCAACATTCTTCCCTAATGGCCTGGTTCCAATAATTCTGAAGGGTGACTAACTCTCACTATGAATGTTAGCAATGAATCAGGAACTAAAATGTTCTGGTCTTACCATAGATTTGTTTATATCATCTGCTTCTGACCAGGCAAAAAAGGACAGTCCTTCAAAGGTTGAATGAAATGGAATGTGAGATTGAAATTAGGACCTTGTCCTACAGCAGCAGAGCTCTGACAGCAAAAGTTACATGGTGACCTGCAAGCTGTTCGTACAGGTCAAAGGTGTCAAACTCAAGGCCAGTGGGTTGACTCCGGCCGGCGGGGTGCTTTGATCTGGCCTGCGGGGCCACCCTGGAAACAGTGAAGGACTGGCCCGTGGTGTCTTTGCCAGCGGCACTCCCGAGCTCCATTTTCGTTGGCAGAGGGCTGAAGGAGGCTGTCGCAGCCAAAAATGGATCTCAGAACCCGTTTTTGCTGGCAGAGCACTTGGGCCTCCACAGGCACCCACGACACAAGTGATGTTGAGCTGGCCATGGCCACCCTGGCCACGCCCCCCCTGCTCCCTCCCCCGAGGTCAAACACAACCCTCAATGAATTCAAGTTTGACACCCCTGATACAGGTTAACCATCCTTAGGTTAAGGAGGAAGCTTTTTAGAACTAGGTACCAGGTGCTTCCATCAGCTTCCCCACAAGGTAGATTCACCAAGACCTAGAACACACCTGCCCTTGCAGCTCTGGATATCATCCATAAACCATTCACCATCTACTGCTGTATTATAATGGACAGATGTTCATCTTTGGACTACAACTTGGTTACCAGGAACAAAGGAGCCAAATTTTGTGTGGATAACAAAGCTCTAAGTTTGGACTTCAACCGTTTTTCTATTTTATTAATTTCATCTTTTGGTTGTATTGATTCCATTTTATTTTGACATGCTAGTCTTTGAACACAAGAATAAAAATTGTCTTGACTTGTTTACAATTTGAAGAGGCTTAAAAAATAAATTAGTGTATCTGCTTCCATAATGGAGGGATATGTTCATTTTAAATGTCCTGAATAAGAAATAAGATTATAATTCGGATTTCTGAAGTGAGCTGTTTTGAAACCTTTTGTTTGAAAGCATTTGGAAAATATAATCAGTCAAAAATGCTATGACCCTGCCATAAATTGCAGGAAGATAGAATTTTGTGTTTTGTCACAGACTACGGATCTTGAATAACAACAAATCAAAGCTTTCACTGATTGGAATCCAGAGTTGATTTATACCCCAGGGAGCTTTGCCATTCATTTAAATCTCATCTTAGCCATGTGGTCACTTCTGCAGTCAGGATATAATGGTACATGGAAAGATGACTAAAATATTTATGGGAAGTTTCAATACTTTCATAAATACTGAAGTGCAGAGTTTAAATTAGAAATCTTCTGTTATCTTTCAAGCCAAGAAAGCACCCGGTTCACTGGAGGTATTAGATAGGATACAGCACATAGTAATTACTGTGATTGAACTTTTATCCCTTGTTGCTCCCTTCTCCAGAGAATTCTGCATATTGTTTAATTTATGTGGTTACCACAATGGTAACTGGAGCTGGCAGCATGAAATTATTATAAAATCTCAACCAGGTATCCTTGTTTTTCTGGTTGAAGAAAAAAAAAAAGGGAGCCATTGTTTATCTGGTTAATTGTTTACTTTTAAATTGCTAGAATTAGGTCTCCTGCAAAATGCTCCCTTAATCTGTGCCAGGGTTCAACCCTAGTAACCCCCAAGGTACAGTTTGGCACTAGACAACACAAATGCTTCTTTGTGCACCTCTTCCTGGCCGCTAAGCTTTTTTCTTCTAGTACTCGCTTTTGAATTAATTAATTAATTAATTTAAAAAAAAATATTTTCATTTTATTCTGTTTTAGTTTCACTTAATTTGTTAATGAAAATGATATTGCAGTGTGAGCATGCAAGCGCTGTGACATTACACATGTAAGAAAGAGGCAAAGCTCACAGCACAACATTACTTTGTGCTGTTTGACACTACTTTTGACAGTTTGACAAAAGTGGCATGCTCCCCAGCCCATGAATGTGTGGTGGTATTGTAGTCTCCATCACTGGCTGATCCTTACCCATCTGAAATTAGGAATGGATCCAGAGCTTTGTTACGGAGTCAACCAATCAGCTCCTTGGTGGACTCTTTCAAGTATTTTCTACTTTCAATCGTTCCGTGTTTGCTGGGTTCTTCTGAGGTTGAGAGTTTTCTTTTTTTATTGTTATTACTCTTTTCAGAAAAAATCCATCAGGAATGAATAAAGGGCATGTTGCACTTAATCTGTGTGAGCAAGATTTTTTTTTATATATAAACACTGAAGGCAAAGAATACAGTTTAGATCAAAACAGAGTTTTGTAATGTCAGGCTTTGTGGTTCCTCACAGGCCACTGATCAATTTAAATTTGCTTTCCTTTTCCCCACTGACTGCATCCAACTCAACACCCAGGGTATGAGTTCAATGGGAGGGAACGGAGAGACAACTGTCCTCGATGGGACTTTAATGTAATTTACCTTTTCTATATCACTATTCCTTCCCATTTATCCTACACCATCTCGGGTCCCTTATTTGTTGTTATTTTTCTGCTTCCCTTGCTGTTATATTTCTGTGATGATTTCCTCTTCCCTGCACAAGATATACCTGAGATTGTCTTCCACGCTTATATACTTTGAACAGCTTCTAACCTTTTTGGTTTAGCTCAGTCCCTCCCCAACCTTTGTCTGACAGGGGATGATGAGGATTGTAGTCAGGATACCTGGAGGGCATCGAAGAGGGGAAGGCTGCTTTAGAATGCAGCTAAATGATCTAAACCACCTTATTGTGGCATATGTTGTATTTTAATACCTCCTTCTCTGAGGCCAGTCCACAATCTATGTTCTTCCCTTTACAAAATGAGAAGATGGAAAGGGAAGACAGCTATGGGGTTTTTTTTTTTTTCTACTCTTAAAAAATGTACCAATTTTATCTACTCTCATTAAAATACAATTATAGAATAATTGGATGCTATGCCACAGGAATGAATCATGAATTTTTAATTAAAAAAATAAGGGAAGAAAGATTAGAAAATGAAGCCATGGGAGATAGTCTCAGACTGCAAGAAAGCAAAGGGGTTGGAGTTTTGTTAAATATTTCTAACTTGGGGCGCCATTCTCGTTCATGAAGTTACCCTACTTATAAATTTGAATTTATAAAGAAAGGATATTCACTGCCTTCCTATGCTTCTGTTTCTTATTCCACAAAAGGAAAGAAGACAGAAGCTTAGAAAAAAATGCAGCTTTTTGGCTTGGTTCAAACGGCTGGTTCAGCCAAGGAAGCAAAGTCTGATTCAATTAATGCTTTGCTCTCATTGGTTTGCTGTCTAAATAATTGCATTTGTAGGGTTGCTGTTCTTTATCTCCCATTAGGAATAATTCCATAATATTCCCAAATGGATCGCCTCCACGATTGAAACCTTATCATTCCACACATCTTTTCCCTTGAATCCATATCTCAAAAAGAACACGAAGAAGAGGCAGAATCTGAATCTTAACTTTTGTTGTTGTTGTAAAGCAAAACACAGGTTCCTTTGTATCTCGGGCACCATCTGTTCTCTCAATTTCTTTACTGCTTTTAATACTTTTCTTCCCATTCCTCATTCTTGGGATGATCTGCCGGACAGTACGCAATTCCATCTCCCTCTCCATCTTTCCAATGTTGATCGGAGCTTTCCTGGATTTCAGTGGAAAATTGTGGCAGGAAACTTGGGTGAGAAGACTCTGGCAGTTTTTATTAAAAGAAATTAAATTGGGGTGGGGGGGCACACACTTTTTCCCCACTGCCTTTTGTTTGCATAAACTGATGCAATTTCTAAAGCTCTGAGCCCAGTGGTCAAACACACTGGTTTGTTTTTTTTTTTAAGATGTGGACAATGCGCAAGAAGCAACAAAAACAAACAGGAGGCTACGGTTTTAAAAAGGAGACTTTACAGCAGAATTAGATGACTTGAAGCTGTCATTCAGACATCAGTACAGGCGTTTCTGTTACAGACAATCAAGCCCAAATGTGAATCGAACAGACACCACGCACCAAAACCACCAAAGTCAACCTCTCACATTGGACCCGTCCATCCTCCCCCCCACCCCCAATTCAAACCTGGAAGGAAAGTATCTTGAAAGAGAGCAAAAAGTTTTTGACAATTAAACTTTAAGACCAATTTGTCCCTCTCTCCTCTCTCTCCCTCCCTCCCTCCCCCTCCCTTAAAACAAAGCATCAAAGCTGGAAATGTTTAGCTGGTGGCATTTACAGTGTTATATACAGAACATCCAATGACATTCAAGAGCTTCCCCCATCTCTGTCCCTTTTCCACTTTACCCCCGTTCCCACCGCCGGACCACCACTGTCCCCCACCCCCCCACAGCAGGTCGAGGTCGGAGCTCTTCCCCACCTGTCCGGAGATCGAGGGAAGTTACTGTAAAACCCTCTCCCACGCCCAGTCCAAAGTCACGGCACTTGGCTTCGGATAGAGTCCTGCTACTATGGTCCCGTCGGGGGAGCGGGGGGGGGGGAAGGGTCGTTTGTTTCCCGCCTCCCAGGAATGGCTTCCACCGGCCGGCATCGCCTTTCGGGAAAGGCAGCAGCAGCAGCAGCCACAACGCGCAGCCAAAGGTCCCTCGTGAGTCCGGTCCGCGGCTGGAGAGGCCAAGCGGGCTGGTGGGCGGCGCCGGGGTCAGTAGGGGCCCACGGCCACCGCCTCCACCTCCTTGGACGGCCTGCGTTCCTTCACCAGAAAGTTGATCATGCCTTCGGATTTGATGAGCAGGTTGCAGCCGAGGAAGAAAATGCCGAAGACGACGGTGAGCGACAGGACGCACATGACGGCGATCTGCACCACTCGCATGATGTACAGGCTCCTCTCGTCCGGCGCGGTCACCACGAAGCCGTCGTCGGTCACCACGGATTTGGGCGTGAAGGACTGGAGCGCTCGCTCCAGAGAGTCAGTGCCGTTGGCCAGCAACAGCCCCAGCAGCTCCGTCTGGTTCCCCAGCGTGGAGTTCATGGCCCCGGCGGCAGGGAGACGGGGCTGCTGCGAGCACCGGCGACGGAGCGAGAGAACGGCGCAGCTTCCCCGGAGATGTGCCCGACGCCCAGCGAACCTCATGCGGCAGCTGCAGCGGTGGCCCCTGACGGAGGAGAGCAACCTGTGGCGCGCAAACGGGCCGACGGCTGGGAATCCCGGGCAAGAGGCGCGCTCCTTCGCCCGGATCTGAGGCGCCTGTCGAGGATCCCGCTTCTCCGCCAAAAGAGGGGCTGCTGCCGGGAGGGGAGCCCGGCCTGAGCGCAGAAGCTGCCCCCCCTACTTGCCTCGAGGGCGCTGAGCCGTCAAGGAAAAAGTGAAAGGGGAGCAAATGAGCGCAGCGCCGACAGGCAGCCAGAAGTAAAAGAAGCCGCCAGCCCCGCGCCTCCGAGCGGCTCTTTTGATACAACAGGAGACGGGCGGGTACAAAGAGTCCCGAACTCCCTCCCCGCCCCCCCCCGCAGCTTGGCCTGGAAAAGAACCGGCAGCCACACACGCGTCGTTTCGCTCCGCCTCGCATCAGGGGGAGGGGGGAGAGAGAGGGGGAGAGAGAGAGAGAGAGAGAGACACACACACACACACACACACACACACACACACACACACACAGAGAGAGAGAGAGAGAGAGAGAGAGAGAGAGAGAGAGAGTCAACACACGAGAGAGAGGAGAGTCAAGCCTCGAGGATCAAATACTGAGGTTTTTTTTTAGTTGTTCGTTATCTCTTATTATTATTATTATTATTAATTATTATTATTATTATTATTATTATTATTATTATTATATATATATTTTTGAAAGGGAAACAAAATGAAAATTTTGCTTTGATATACCCAACGACCGTGATTTCAATTTTATCAACAGTGAGGCAGCGCTCCCCCAAAAGTTGATAGGGCAACTTTAAGGATAATACATCGGGTTATTCGAAATGAGGTAGCCTTAGCTTTCTGCTTTGTCTGTCTGCTGTTGTTTATATGTGCTCCAAATTGCTTAGTTGTATAATTCAGAATTATCTATTTCTGCTCTGACCAATATTAGGATAGATTGGACGAACACTATTCCTTTTATAAAGTCTCTCTCTCTCCCTCTCTCTCCCTCTCTCTCCCGCTTCCTCTGTGTGTATTCTATTAAGAAACAGCATCTCACTGATTTGTAAAATCTCTCTCTCTGTATCAGATGCAACACTTTGGCAGAAAATGTGTCCATTGTTTGTCGATTTTTCAAATTTGGGTCCATCAGAAAAGAGTCTAACGGAAGTACATGTTTACATGTCAATATATCAAAATCTGGCCTAAGGAGTCAGGAGCACATGCTTATACAGAAAAAAGACACATAACAAGCAACAGATAAGATTCTAAAAATAAGGAAAATAAAGTGTAAAAATCCAAGTTAGCTATTAAATTGAGGGAAGAAGGATATTAAGTTAGCTAATGAAAGGTAAAGCTATATTGGTAGGAGCAGATAAGTTTTGGGACCATTTTTTATCCAGTAAGGTTGATGAAATGTAAGATTTATTTATTAAATTTATTTAATAAAGTAAGAAGGGATGGCGTGGCTCCCGGCTCTGCCCTGATACGGTTCTCCTTGTTGCCGCAAAGTCTGGCTGGGTATGGCTTGCTGATGAAAGCTAAAAAGCTTGAAATAGGTCTATACTAGTCTCCCTTTATTTCTTTATCAGCAAAATATAAATTTGGTATAATATAAAGATAAAGAGCCTGGTGGCTCAGTGAACTAAACTGCTGCTGTTAAAGTAGTACTTAGCTGCCAGCTGCCTGCAATTACTGCGAGTTCAATTCTCAGCAGGCTCAAGGTTGACTCAGCCTTCCATCCTTTCGAGGTAGGTAAAATGAGGACCCAGTTTGTGGGGTCAATAAGCTGACTTTGTATAAAATAGAACACCGCTCGGGGGGGCCAAAAAGCCCTACTAAGCAGGTATATACAAAAGTATGAAGGCTATTGCTTAATGCATTGTAAGCCGCCCTGAGTCTCCGGAGAAGGGCAGCATATATAAATCGAACTAATAAATAAATAAATTTGCAGCACATCTCACCGCAAGGCAACTCCATGTGAAGATTTATTTCACATAATAGCATGCAAAGTTGTATCTGAACTTGATTCCCCAAGGAAGCTAAAATAAATAACCTTTTTTAAAAAAATAACATTAAGCTGAAAAGAATATTCCTTGCGGCCAAACCACACTTGGCCAAATAAAGCTATTCTATTCTGTTCTGTTCTGTTCTGTTCTGTTCTGTTCCGTTCCGTTCCGTTCCGTTCCGTTCCGTTCTGTTCTGTTCTGTTCCGTTCTCTATTCAAATAAACAACCGCTTCAGGGGTGGGTTCTACTTATCTTTACTATCGGTTCGCAATGGGATTGTGCGCACGTCTTGCTTCTGATCGCCGATGACAACATCCGGGACAGTGGGCGGGGCCTCCCGCTGGTTTTACTACCATTCTTGCGAACCGGTCCAAACCGGGGGCAACCCACCACTGAACTGCTTCCTCAGCTTTTGCAAAGCTTGAATACTGCTGACAGACTATGGATGCCATCATACCATTTCCTTAGCAATGCTAAGGAATGAATGTGCCATTGCTGTCACCTGTTTGTTTGTTTTTATATTTTTACTCTCCTCTTTAGCCCACAATCTTTTTATACGCAGAAGGTCCCTATCCAACTCCTGTTAGCTGATGAGACCAAAAAGAAAAAGAAAAAAAAAGCCAGCTTCTGCCATCTGCTGAGAAAACAAAAGCATTACACTTTTAATTTCTTCTAATGAGCAAACATGGTGAGTTACCTCTATTAAGATATCTAAACATTTTCCCCAAAACACACATAAAAAATCAAGTATTCTTACAGTGAAATACGAATGGCCATTAATTCATTTTGTTTATCAGCTAGATCAGGCTGGCTGAGGAATTCTGGGAGTTGAAGTTGCCAGATTTGGAGACCCCTGAGCTAGATGACTTGTAAGAAAGTATGTTCAAATAAACTGGGATTAAACTGGGGTAGGATTGTAATGATGAATTCATTAAAAAAAAGGAAGATCCAGAAAGTTTTTTTAAAAGAAATATACAGGTAGTCCTCGGCTTATGACCACAATTGAGCCCAGCATTCCTGTTGCTAAGTGAGACATTTGTTAAGTGAGTTTTGCCCCGTTTTACGACTTTTCTGGTCACATTGATTAAGTGAATCACCACAGTTGTTAAGTTAATAGCATGGTGGTTAACTGAATGTGGCTTCCCCATTGATTTTGCTTATCAGAAGGTCGCAGAAACTGATCGTATGACCCCAGGACACTGCAACAGTCATAAATATGAGCCAGCTGAATTTTGATCGCACGACCATGGGGATGCTGCAATGGTTGTAAGTGTGAAAAACGGTCATAAGTCACTTTTTTCAGTGCTGTTGTAACTTTGAATGGTCACTAAATGAACTGTTGTAAGTCGACCGCTACCTGTACTGGTTTGTAACCAAAAACAAGCATTGGGTTAAGATGTATAAAATTTGAAGGTTCCCCTATTTTAAGAGAGAGGTACAATTGAAAAAAAAAATCATCCTAAGAATAGTCTATGACTGTTAAAAGCCAGCCTAGTAGTGCAGATCATAAAGTAGCAGGTTACAGGATGTGCTTTTTTGATCCACTTGTCTAATTTGGAGACTTGATGCAAGTGGAATGCAAGGAGAAAATACCCCACAGGTTGTAACTCGATCTAAACATTTTCTCCCATTCATTTAGTTCGTTGGTTGTGAAGTCAGGTGCCAGATGGTCCCCAAGTCTTTCAAACAACACCTGCTCTACCCATCTGCAACCAGGTAACCTTAGTGAGAGCAGTGTGTAAAATTTCCAATCAAGACGCCTGATGAATTAAAGGCCAGAAATTGAATTAAATAAAGAGAGGACCAGGGGAATAACTAATTCCTGGAGCCAGTTCATCCAAAAAAGAAAGGACAAGGACAAGGAAATGTCGACAAAATGACATCTGTCTTATTTCAGTATTTTCTACTGAATATAGGCACACACACACACACTAATGTGTACATACATCCATGTTGCATTAATGTCTATATACATTAATATATCAATGCTATTACATTAATACAGGAATGTTATGTACATACAATATGTAATAGTGCAAAGTATAGCTAGCATAAGAATATTTCATAAATACAGTATGGGTAGTCCTCAGCTTACAACAGTTCATTTAGTGACCGTTCAACGGCACTGTTGAAAAAAGTAACTTATGACCGTTTTTCACGATTACGCCTGTTACAGCATTCCACACACCATGAGCACATAACAAGACCTCAGACTCGGAGCCAAACCAAAGCTCGGGATGTTGCATTACAGCCATCTGCTCATGACAATACATCACATAACTCAGGATGTCACAACACTAGAGCTCAGGATGCTACCACACAACCCATTACCCAAGTCGTTAAAACACAAAAGACTAATGGGCACACAGCTAGGACCTCGCCCACACAGGATGTTACGAAACAGCCGATTAATCTGCAAACATCAACTCCATCAACTAATCAAGATGTAACAACACAGCCAACCAATCCGCTTACAACAACAAAGCTAGCACTCCACATCTCCCCACCAGTATTTATAGAGAGACAGCATCTCCGATCACGCTTTGCTCGCACAAGCACGAAGCCGAAGACACCAGCCTGAAGATGACGAGTGGGACCTCGTCGAAACGTCACCAAAAGAATACTAACATAACATCATAACATAGCTACATGTTAACCTAAGCTCAATTTCTGGTGATTTCATGTACATGGAAATATAATATTCTTTGCAGCAGTACAGAAGAGGTTTGCCATGGTCTTCTTTTATTCAAAGCGGTTGTACATATTAGAAAACCGAGAATCTATTTCATTAGCTAAATAAACCAATGCGTTAACTTTTCTTCTTTGGCAGATTCTTTCCGTTAAAGCAATATATCTCTGATATGTCAGGATGAAATTGGAGCAGCTTTTGAATTTGACAGAATGAGACTGTTAAGATGGGCAAACCTTAACTCAGCAGCATGCTGGCTGGGGAATTCTGGGAATTGAATTGGAACTTAAGTTTGCTAAGTTTTTTTTTTTTTAAATGTAGAATATAACTATAGAATCCTGAAAGGCTGTCAGAGTTTCCTTCTGCCCCTATTATGCACAAGAGATTCAAGCCAGGTTATTTTGAGATGCTTTTTCCTTCCCCAGGCCTCAGTTTACATTCTTCCTCCTTAAGGGCACCTGCATGCATTCATTCAGATTATCTCCACATTGCTCTGTACTCAAACATATTAGATTCCCTCCCCTTCCCTGCCCCCAATTGTAGGAATATGTGGCAGGGGTGGGTTCCACTTACCTTTACTACCGGTTCGCAACAGGAGCGTGTGCACTTCTGCGCATGCACAGATTGTC